AGTCCCTTAGACAGGTATAGGTGTAATTAATTGCAATAATACAGCTTATACATCACGAGTGAACTGTACTAATGCTTTAAGTACACATTGGAACTAAATGTGAACTCTTAAATGGAGTAAAATGTTACTTGGGGGGTCATTGGAAAAAATTCTACGTGCTCACGGACCGGGCTTTAGTTAATAAGATTTCTACGTCATTGTGTTGTGAACTGTACTAATCTAAAGCTTGGTTTTCGATCCCTCAGGAATCTACACCACCAAGGAGGCGGTGAAACGGAACTCCTCCTGCGGGAAGTGTGGTTGCGACAGTGAGAACTTGGTGCTGAAACACTCATTCGCAAACATCAGGATCACCAGCCCTGACGTCTCCAGCATATGCCCTTGCCCTTCTAATTGTATGCCAGGTAAGTTAGTCTGGACTCCCTAACGCTCGGTTCCCACTAAGGCAGTACGGAGACGAGAGGAAATGTGCGGCGAAGCTGGCAGGATATTTGCAACAAAGCGGAGCGGAGAAGCAGAGCTGTGCGGAAACGAGAGATGTGTGAGCTGTGCTTAGCTGTCAGCTGTCATTCTATTGCTATCTATGAAACACCGCACCGCTCCGCACATTTCCGCATCGCTCTGCTCTTCTCCGCACCGTGCCACTATCAAATTCTATAGAAAAACAAGTGCACCTGACAGTTCTCCGTTCTTCTCCGCTCGATCCATTTCCACTAGGAATCTGATTGGTTATTCAAAAAACTTCTCTGCTCCGCTCCGCCTGGTGGCAACCGGGCCTTACTTACCCTCCTTTGTTTTGTCACCTTTCTTTGGCTTTGCACTGGAGGGAAGTCGAACTCCTACGTTCTTCTGATTAATTTCGTTGAGGGTCCAACGACAGTTTAACTTTACCCGGGACAAACTTGACCTTCACTAGTTGGGTTATTGGCGGTCAAGCTGTAGATCCTGGCTACACAGGAGTTGCAGCGGTGGTAACGAGAGGTGGGAATAGTCTCGTAACCCATCTGGCTAGCGTGGGGAGTGTAGGCTAGTAGGTGGGAGGGGTGATACTTACGCCCGTATTCACAAACGATGCTTGCTTAAGTGAAGCAGCAAATCGAACGCGTTGAATACAGCTTTGTGCTTGGTTAGTGTTTCTATGCGTCCACACGCACTGTGAGACATCATAGTAATGTTTGTGAATGAATAAGTACGGGCATTTTTATTCCAAAAAACTTCTCTATTACTTCCAATTCTTTCAGTATCTTATTTCTTTTCCAGACAAAGACAAACTCCAGAACAACATCAAGGTGACCATAGAGCACGTGTACGCCATAGAGTCCGATTCAGACTTCTCCGATGACTCGTTGTATACGGTGTCAGAGACAAGCAGGCTGACTGCAAGCGAACCGGTGTTGCCACGGTCTATGGATTCTTTGACCGTGAATGAGTTGTCTATGACTGAAGAGAGGGGGATAAACAAAAATTAAGGTAGTTTAACCTCATAAAGGTAGCAGAACCAAAGTGACTGACGCCCGTATTCACAAACGATACTTGCTTAAGTAAAGCAGAAAATCGAACGCACAGCATTGAATAGAGCTCTGTGATTGGTTCCAGTGTGGCCCTGTGCGTCCACGCGCACTGTGAGACCTCATAGTAATAATTGTGAATACGAGCGTGAATTGTTAAAATCAAGTGGCAGTGGGCGGGGCACATAGCTCGTAGAGCTGATGGCCGCTGGGGCAGGAAAGTTCTTGAGTGGCGACCACGAGCCGGAAGACGTAGCGTGGGCAGGCCTCCCACTAGGTGGACCGACGATCTGGTGAAGGTCACGGGAGGTGCCTCGATGCGAGCGGCGCAGAACCGGTCTTTGTGGAAATCCTTGGGGGAGGCCTTTGTTCAGCAGTGGACGTCTTACGGCTGAAACGAACTAACGCTATAAGAGCTATGTGCCCCGCCCACTGCCACTTGATTTTAGCAATTCTGCGAGCTATGTCGGTCACTTTGGTTCTCCTGCGGATCTCCTCATTTCATCAATGGCAATAATTTAATGTTTTTTTCTTTTTAGAATAAGATTAACAAAGAACTCTTACTTGAACATAGAAATGTGGAAAAAGAAATTAATAATAACCATAGCGGGCCTTACATCTTCCGCTTATATTTTTAATAAGTATTTCGAAGAATAATGTTTTAATTTCATATTATAAAAATTTGAGCCAACCCAACACTTGGTTATTATTTTTAATTATATACATAGAAAACCTAATTTCACCCTGTATAGTGGAAAAAACGTTCATCATCATCATCATCAACAGCCCTTTACAGTCCACTGCTAGACTTTGAGCCTCCTCCACTATAGTGGAGGGTTTTGCCATAATCCCCACGCTTGGCAGGCGGGTTGGAGATCGTAGTTAAAATAATGATGTTTTTCAGAGAGCACTGTCCTTAAAACCATCTCTAGCTTTTCTTCTTTCCAATGATATAGGTATCACACGTAGTAAGGGGGCGTCCATAAATTACGTGAGACAATTTTGGCTATTTTTCAACCCCCCCGCCCCCCTTGGTGAGATTTGGTGAGATTTTGCCTGACCCCCTCCCCCACCCCCAAATCTCACGTGATATTAAAAAAAATCCGAAATTTAATAGTTTTGGAGTAATATAACTGAGAATATTTTTTTGTGTGCTTTAACGTTGTCGCTAACGAGTGCATCAAAAAGATCTATAAAGTTGAAGATTTTAGTTCTTGAAAGTATCTGCTAGGGACGCTG